GAATTCTTTTTCTGGAAGGTTGCCTATCTCCACTTCATTTAGTTGTTTTTCTGGGGTTTTATCTTGTTCCTTCATCTGGTACATAGCCTTCTGCCTTTTCATCTTGTCTATCTTTCTGTGAATGTGGTTTTTGTTCCACAGGCTGCAGGATTGTAGTTCTTCTTGCTTCTGCTATCTGCCCTCCCCTCTTATCTGATCTCTTGAAGAGTTATTGGTGCCACCCTTAGAGCACATTTGCCATTAAGTGGGACACTAGGAATGCAATCCACCAAATGTCAGAATGGAGGCAGCCACAACTTAGGTCCTCTTGGTATAATGTGTTTATCTATGGACAGTAGTAAGATGGTGCTGATACTGTTTCCTGATGATGTTAGTCTGCCACATAGCTGTCTTCATAAAGGCCAGTCAAGGCCTTGTCAATGTCAGGGAGCAAAAGAGAAAGCATTATTCTGAGTCAATGCACACTACTGTTCAATCCTATGCTTTTTAGTTGCATCATTTACATTTAGTGGACACAAATCCAGGTATCTTACTTTGTAGTTAACAGCATGAGAGAATTGATGGATTAGCTAGGAGTATACAAATATCTGGATTTCCTAGTACTCGCCGTAGTATTTTAGAAAGTTATCGTCATGCTGATGACCGTAGGTGAGATGCTCTGCTCCTTGTGCTGTTTGAAACTTTTCTTTAGTAAATTCTTAACTTGCTACGTGTTGCAGAAGACATGATGAATTTGAAAATGGCCAAGAAGATAAGCAGCTGAAAGTAGCCAGAGGTTGGAATAGCTTCCTTACAAGAGAATTTTGTTGTTTTTTAAAGAGGACTCTGGAAATGGGAGTAGGACCAACTCTAAAAATGAGTAGGAAAAAATACATGTGTTCACTAAATCCTAGAATACTGAATCTAGGAGGACCTCTTGAATATCAAAGAAGGTAGTTTCAAGATGAATGAGCAATAAAGAAAACACAAAGTGATTGTGTAGATGTGCAAGTGCAAGTTCAGTATGACGCGACCTTAAGATCTTGTTATCACAGTGGAATCCTGAATGGAATGATTCACTAATAGAATCAGCCACTTTATGGAATCACCAGTGGATATGGTGTAACAATGAGGCTGAATGTAGCAGTTCCTTTTCCTCTTTGCCTTGGGCAGAGGTTGTCAACTCCAGTGTCTACAGGGATTGGGCAGGAAATGTAAATGAGTAAACTGGACCGGACTCTTGCTATCAAGGAGCTGATAGAGAATGGTAGGGACCACAGTGAACTGGTGAATTCATGCCCTGTCTCAAAGAGGGCAGGGATGGCTCAGCTGCCGCCTGTGTTTTAAAATGAAGCTATGGGCCCAGGATTGCCAATCTTCTGCTTTCTCCCAAAACCCAGAAATCTAGAGTTTTAAAAAAAGTGAAATGCTCAGTTTTTACAGGCTGGCAATTATTTTTAAAAATCTTTTGTCAAAGTGCTGTGGCACAAAGAAAAGCTCTCTGCAGGCTGAGTTAGGCCTTTGCATCACTGGTTTTTGTGTGTGTGTGTGTGGTACGTGGGTCTTTCACTGTTGTGGCCTCTCCCATTGCGGAGCACAGGCTCCGGACGTGCAGGCTTAGCGGCCATGGCTCACGGGCCCAGCCGCTCCGCGGCATGTGGGATCTTCCCAGACAAGGGCACAAACCTGTGTCCCCTGCATCAGTAGGCGGACTCTCAACCACTGCGCCACCAGGGAAGCCCTGCATCACTAGTTTTTAACATCTGTCTCCAAAGTAGACAGGTTACCTCCATTCCTAGAGATTTAATTTGAATTCTTGATCATCTCTAGTGTCCATGTGTGATTAGTTTGAATAATCATAGTCATGTCCCTGATGGCTCCTGGTCTGTGGTGGTTTAATTAATGCTACGTTCTACCCACTGACCTATTTTTCATTTATAAAATATCTGACTCCACCACCTCCTCTCCTGCAACACTAAACAACTAGTTCAAATGGTTATATATACGTGTGTGTGTGTGTGTGTGTGTGTGTGTGTGTGTGTGTGTGTGTATTCAAAGCTACTCTGCCTCTTTATGTACAGAGGCTACTGACCTTGTAAGCTGAGGAAGTTAAAACTGCTTTGCAAGAAGGAAAGCAGATAAGGTCTTAGATAGTAGATCCATATTCGAATAAGGGATGTTAACAGTGCTCAGGGGCTGTCCCTAATTAGAACGGGCAGTGTTCCAAGAGCTCTGCCACAAAGTGGCTTTTACTTCCATGAGCAGAGGCAGCGAGCAGGACTGGGTAGACCAGTAGTCTGTCCCATCGTGGGTTGCTTTTTTGTATATGCTACTCTTAAGAATTGGATGAAGATAGAATGAAGAGGTCCTCTGGTCATTCCCTTGCACACAACTTCAGATGTGGTAAAGCTGGGTGATGCTGGGAAAGCCAACATGTCAGCACCAAGGAGTCAGCAGAGAGGGATGGAGCAGTGTGTTCTGGATAAAGGCGTCGCTCAGTCCAAGAGTCCAAGAAGCAAAACCACATGCTGCAACCAACTCTGTAAACAGTGGTAGAAGCCACAAACCAAAGAAGATTCTTCATATTTGGCCCCCAAACTGTTCATCCTGCCGGCATTCTTTTGGCCATCATTTTCAACCATAGCTACCTACCCAAATTAGTATTATCAGTATCTTATTCATCTTTGAATCCCTAGTGCTTAGAATGGGGCATTGAAGAATCATAGTAAATGTTGATAGAAAAGGTGATTTAATCATGGCTTCGATGCCAAATTTTAGACTTTGTTCCTATTTCTCTCTGATGGAGTTATGCCAAATATAGTTCTACTGACATTTATTGAGTTGCCTACTTTATTCAAAACATTGGGTTAGGCATATGAAGATGGATTAGACCCATTCCTGCCAACAGAGGGCTCACCTGGTTGGTGGGAACAAGAGGCATTTGCAGGTTGCAGTGAGGCTACTGTGCTCAGTACTACAATAGCAGTAGACATTGGTTCTGGGGAATCTGAGGTCTTGCCTCCCCATTCTTTCTTTCCTTTTTTTAAAAAATTTATTTATTTTATTTATTTATTTTTGGCTGGGTTGGGTCTTTGTTGCTGCGCACGGGCTTTCTCCAGTTGCGGCGAGCGGGGGTTACTCTTCGTTGTGGTGCATGGGCTTCTCCTTGTGGTGGCTTCTCTTGTTGCAGAGTATGGTCTCTAGGTGCCCGGGCTTCAGGAGTTGTGCCTCGCCGGCTCTGGAATGCAGGCTCAGGAGTTGTGGCGGATGGGCTTAGTTGCTCTGCAGCATGTGGGGTCTTCCCGGACCAGGACTCAAAACCTGTGTCCCCTGCATTGGCAGGTGGATTCCTAACCACTGCGCCACCAGGGAAGCCCTTGCCTCCCCAGTCTTACCTTTCATATTTACAGTTTACTCTTTGGTACTTGGGGTTCTGTACCCATCAGCTTGTTGAAACAGTGTTACTGTTAACTGCCAAATCCAGTGGACTCTGTAGGTCTTCCAACCCTCGTAATCTCTTTGTAATTTTTTTTTTTTTTTTTTTGCGGTACGCAGGCCTCTCACTGTTGTGGCCTCTCCTGTTGGCGGGCATAGGCTCC